ATTCTTCCTTGTGGACCTGCACACGGACACCGTGAGATGCGTAATTGTGAAGTTAGCTTCGAATCTGGTCTATACGTGTGCAGTAGGTCGACATCTGCATATTCCATGCACGAACGCTGCTGCTTATCATGCCGTTGTGGACGAGTTGCCGAGTGTACTTTTGTAGGTAGGAGATGAAACTGACATCACATGGACCCGAGTTGACCCTCGTGTACCTGCAGACTCATACAGCCTCGCCTCGCTTTGCCAGCCCAGTCTGCAGAACATAATGGTTGGGCTTCACCGCGCTTTGATTCTGCTAAAACATTCTCGCCAGTTTGCATTTCTTTAGTTGTCATGGGCGGCGCTAAGCGAAGGATGCAGCTTCGGTGTTCACTCAAAATAATGATGAGTGGTGTTAGTGGAACTTTTACACGCAGGGAGACGAGCACTGTCACTGAAATGGATTTTTTTTTTTAAATATGTGGCAGGGCTGCCTTACTGCATGATCCAAATCCTTTGCAAAACTTGAAATTTTCAGTGTGGTCGAACTACAGACAGCCAGACATATTTCCACAGCCCTGTGTTAGCTGGATGGTCTGACTGCACCTTGCTAGCTTGGAGATTGTTGTTGCCGTTTCTCGTAGCAAAGGGCATTTTGAAAGCTTTAACATGCAGATACGATATGAGAAAGACGCGTCAAATGCATGGGTGCAACGGCAGATTTATACCCTAAGTCTATATCCGCTGAGTCAGATGAACCATCAATCAACTATGAAACTGCACAGCTGCTGGTTAACATGAACTTTATCAAGTTGCAGACGAGGTTCAGACGCTGCCACCCAAGCCTTGGTGATGTCACATCCTTGCTGGCAGGGCACAGCTTCCTGCTCTTCACCCCCTGGCCTCATCATCCCTCATAAAAGTCCAACAAAGAGCAAACAACACAGTAAACCAACACAGCCTTGTAAAACACACATAGACACACACGCATTTGCACACACACACACACACACACAGAGACACACACTCGCATTCCAGAGCAGGGTGCTCTAACACACCCTCTGGAGTCTTGCCCTTTGATGTGAGTGTGGGAAAGCTCAGGGGAATGGTCTTAGTGGGGGAGGGAGAGCGAGAGAGAGGGAGGCTGAATGGGAGGTGGGGAGACTGGGAGTGTGTGGTGGTGGTGGTGGTGGTGGTAGTGGGGGGGGCGGGTCAGTTGAAGCTGACCCCCGGAGCACCGAGAGGTCAGTCTGTTCAAACAGGGGATGGAGACACTCAGACACTCACATACATGCAGAGAACATGCTAATTAGCAGAGACAGGATTCCAGACTGAGATACGCTGATTTACTGCTCGATGCAAACAGAAGCCGACAAAGATAAGAGAGAGGAGGTAAAAGTTTATCACTGCCACGACCGAGAGCTACTGAAAAAAATAATAAACTTTTCTTCAGTTGATTTCAGGGCAATCGTGGATTATTTGAATGCAGCGCAGTTTAAAAAAGGATTTCACAGGCCCTGAGGTAATTTGTTGAGCTTCATAAAATTCTATGTAAACCTTCAGTCCAATAAAAGAGCATAATTCAGCCAGTAGCAGTTAGCAGCGGTGTGGCTAATGAGCAGCACTTAACATCAATCCGGCAAATACAATAGCCTCTTTTCTGCTCCGGGTTTGCTTTAACGTAGAGACAGATGAATGACAGATAAACAAGAAAAAAGGAGATAAGGAGAATAAGAAGAGAAGGTTCATATGAAAGAATCTCTTCTGGCTGCCGTGCTGACATCTCCGGGCTGGTTGCGCCTTGGCAGAGCATCCTCGTCTGTGTGTGTGTGTGTGTGTGTGTGTGCATGTTTGCATGCATGCACCGCAGTGCAGCAGCTAAACAGAGGTTACTTTATATAAAAGCCGGTCCCTGGTTGTGCCCTGAGGTCTCTGTAATCTCACTCTCTGCCCGCACACACACTGGGCGCGCAAGTACGCTCAAGTGCAAACACACACATGCAGGCGCGCAAGCATGCGCAAACACAGGGCTCTGAGGTCTCGGTAATCACACCGAGTCCGTCTAAAGAGCGACTCGGTTCGCCTTCAAAACGCGCTGCCACACTCCACCTCTCATTAAACCCGGTGACCTCCTCCACAGCGAGATAGAGAGAGAGAGAGAGAGAGAGCAGGAGTCTGTGTGGCCCCTCCACATTAATAATATCTGCATTCAAATATGACCCCAAGTCCCCAGCCTCCCACCCAATTAACTCTCTGCAACTGTAGTAAAGGGCACCACCAAAAAAAAAAAAAAAGGCACACACACAGATGTACGCTGTGCCACCGATGCTAAATTTTGAGCATCGAACCACACAAATAAACAGATAACCGCCTGACCCCAGCCACGTCAACACCGTGTCTTTTTTTTTTTTGCAAATCAAACGTCTGGTGTCCCCGTCATCCACTCGCTAAATGCATTAAAGCATTCTTTCATCCATCTTTTTAGCCATCTTTCCACAAGTCGCTGATCCAAATCTGTAATCTCATCTCTCGACTGCATCTGCACATCCCTGCATCCGTCCATCCCATCATGTGCCGTTTCTATCTGGCATTATCTGAGCCCGTAGGTCTGCCTGAGGCCGTCCCTCTGATTTCAGGGGGGAAAAATTGAATTATATGGCGGGCGGAGAAAAGGAGGCGGGATGTAATTTGTTACAACACAGAGAGCCGTGGTGGTGGTGGTGGTGGTGGTGGGGGTTTGTGTGGACTTTTTTTTTATTATTTAGGAGGGGGATGGAGGGTAGTGTCTGAGCCAAAACTGCTCCCTCTCTCTCTCTCAAAGAAAACCTTCACTCAGAAGGGCAAAGAAAGAGTCATAGAAGAAGAGAGATGCAGACAGAAGGGAAAGGAGATTGAGAAGTGAAAACAAAGACGTCCTTTCAAAGTTTCTGAGCAACAGCTTACACTTCTGACATCATCAAAGTGGGACACAATTCCAGAGGAGTTGGGGGGAAATCCCGTGTTACTTGCCACCTCCTTCCGTCTTTAAGAGCTTCTAAGTGGCTTACATTTCCACTCTTTTCATGTACTGATATCAGATGCAGCCGGAGAGCGCGGCCGTGGCTGCCCCACTCTGTCGCTGAGTGGACTGTGCTTTCAAGTAGCAGTTTTTGACATGGAGATAACACCCTTAGATACCACCCTGCCCCTCTTCCTCACAAATATGCAAAGCTCTCTAGTTTTGGATTAGTTTTTGCACGTTTCACAGCGATACAAATACTTTCGGACATCTTTGAGATTTCACAGCGATAACAGTTTGTTTGTGATAATGCAGATGAAAGAAGGGACAGTGCATGGTAGGAAGCTGCAGCATCCTGGTGTTGAAAGCCAGCTGCTGAGCCTCGCATTCCCAGGATATCTTGTTAGAAAACTAAACCCAGAAGACCATCGGCAATTATGATGGATGATGGTGGCTTTGTGGATTAAAAAAAAAAAAAGATCTGAAGCTAGCTTCAAAGTAGAGATTTTCTTTTTTTTCCAGTCTCTACAATAACACAAATATACTCCAATGTGAACTATGAATCTTGGAGATACACATTCAAGAATGTTTTCACCTGCATCACTAAGCATGTAATACACAACGTCTCTTGGCTTCATCAGCATTCTTTCATTCAGACGAAGGTCACTTTTACATGAACGTTGCTCACAGCTTCATCCAGACGCAACCACGACAGTAAAAGAAAGAGAGCCATGGTATGTGCGCAGTATTTGCCGTACAGTGGATAGTAGACTGCATCAAGGTTTGAGTAGATAGTAATAAACAGAAGACTGAAACTAAACTAATAGCAACATGGAGGACAGGATTGGTTGAGATGCAACAGCAAATGAAATTATGTACTAGGGCTGCACAATATATTATATTATAATACAAATATATATATAGTTGAAGCCTTGATATCACAAGGTGCACAGTCACACCACAGGAATGTGATGAAAGGCAAATTAAGTCAAACATATGCAACAACTTTTTTTTGCTGTCGGATACAGAAAGAAAACTTGCACAGCAATCATTTTCCATGACTAATTTACAAGAGAAGGTCATTTTATATAACATAATTCATTCTTGCGTGCACAGAATTTGGCTACGGTGAGGATGATCAAAAATAGACACGCTTTCGGCGGCGTCCTGCAATTGTTGCCACCGCGTGACCGTTCTAATGAGCACAACGAAGCTCTGTGCAAAGTCAGATCTGAATGCCGTCAAAAGCATACGTTTTGCTAAAGTGTTACACAGTATGAGTTTTTTTCTTTTATGCAGATCCACTCTACTACAAAATCACCTCAATGATACTTTGCAAAATATAGTGCAGATAAAGAAAATATCGCAATGTCAGTTTTTTGATGTGTTCATTGAAATCTAAATATTTTTTTCTGTTCATTGATTAAAAAAAAACTAACTTGACATAGTTTCAGAATCTATATTTGCAGTAGTGGTGTTATTGCATTAATGGATGCATAATATAGAATGTGACCTAAACATACTAGTAACCATAGCAACCATGTTATGTGACAGCATGAAGTTTTTAGCTGTGTTGAAAGCAATATCAAATGTTACTAAGTACAATGTAGTACGATTGTAAGTTGTAGTAAGAACACAAAGGAGTGCACATCTGATGGAGCTCAATAAAAATAATAGCATGGATTCCTCTGTGTGTTTCTTAACAAAGTGTCATTGTCTCTAAAGTATAATTGCATTTTAAATGAACTGAAATAAATGGAATCCTATGACTATCCAGAGTGTAAAAACCGTTTGCAAAAACACTGGTATGATTCTTTTGGGGAGTGCGAAGGTAGCAAAAACCTCCATTTAGAGTCGTTTAAGTCAATAAAAAGTAAATGTTTGTCAAATTATTTGATGTATTTTCAGTCCAGAAGCACAATGACAGCATGTGCAGCCTGCGTATAATGAAAACGACGGGATGTGCAGCCACCAGGCCACATGGTAACATAATTAGATGAAGATAAAAGAGAGTACTGACCCTGGATGCATTGCAGTGAGCCGTCCTCTGCCCGGATGGTAAACGTCTCCCCCGGGTTCACCTGCACCAGGATCACCTGTACCACCATACCAACACACACACACACACACACACAAACACACAAACACAAAAAATCATACAGTTATGTAGGGAGACAGATAATTATTGAAAAACTGAATTTAAATACAAAATTAAAGGGAAAAATGTCATAAACATACGTCCATCTTTAGCAGCTACAGAACAGACACTCTGCTGGGCAGCCAATAAGCTTGCAGAGGTGACATAACACAACAACCAGAGGATCTTAGAGGAGGGCGGACACTGAGAGTTCACACATACGAAGGAGGTGTTAGATAAGCTAATGGTGAGACTCTGCTGCTGTCTCACACACCCTGATTTAAGAAACGCCTTTCTCTTTAAACCACGCTGACGAGAAGGAAAAAAAAAACTGTACACACAGATACAACAGAGAGAGAGAGAGAGAGAGCATCTACCACAATTAAACATACAGACAGGTGAGCGCACACAAATGAAGCCATCATACATGACACTGTTTTGATTCCCCAGAGCTTCCGCTGAATGTGCCTGAAGGCAGAATGCATGCACCTTACCGTCATATTCTCCGCATACAGATTGTTGAGAGTGTACACGTGGCTGTAGACATGAAACAGGTGACCCTCCATTGCACACAAGCGCACACGTAGTCACACACACATGCATGCACGCACAAGCACAGCCCCGTCTACGCTCTACAGGTGTGCTGTTGTAAAATCCTCATATCCTGCATCCCTCCTGTAGCGTCTGCATCTTCTCCCATCTCAGCGCTAACCTGCTCCTCTCCGTCAGACACACACACACACTCACACTCGCGTACACACACACTCACACACTTCCTGCTCTGTCTGCTGCAGCGGCTGCTGTTGCTATGGGAACCCCAGCATAGTACAGGGCGACCCATGTTTCACAAGGACTGAGAAAACCCCTATATCAGACCATGTGGGTGGGTGCGAGTAGTGCCTAAACCTCCGCACGCCAAAATCGAACGACGCGTGAAAAAGTCATGTTTGTTGTCACGGCACGATTGATCACTGAAGCTGTCGGCTGGCGATTTGATGAAATGACAACATTTCTTTAAAAAAACTACAAATATGATGTCCAAACATTAAAATCTGTAATAGATGTGGCTTCAAGTCAATGCAAAATTTGCAGAAATCCAGCCTCACAAATTAACTGCAGTTCTCTCCTACACAGAGATCACAACAGTGTTTATTTTAACATTTCAGTTTTAGTTAGTCTGCTTCTCAAAGCCCATCACCTCCGAGTTAAATGCCACCAACATGACAGACCGAGGCCAATCAAGTGACTAGATAAGCGAACGAACAAGAATGGCTGAAGATCAAGACTTTTTTTTTTGGCGGTGCACAGCTAATTAAATGAAAAATGACATTAGATGCCAATTTGGGTAAATGTCACAGGTAGAGGGATTACAGTCAGTAATAAATCAGCACCCTCTGCTCCATTATGTGAAGATGGTTATGAATTTTCAGAAGACAGGACAGCACTTGAAATATCCTTCTTCGGAATGCAACAGTGTTACAGCCAAGTATGCATGAGCTATATGATATGATGAACGGCAAACAATGCAGCCAGTCAATGGAAACCAAGTTGTTGTTGGACGACACTGTTGCAGCTCATTACGTAGTTTTAAATGGAACTGAACACAGAACCTCTGACATGGCTGAGGAGCTGCAGGTTCCACAGGTGCTGTCTCTTAAAACATTTTAATTTATTCTTTACATTTGATGATTTATGCTGTGGTCACACATTTTAAAGTCCCTCAGCAGTCATATTAAACCACTGCTCATTTGCTTTCCATGAAACAATCCCATCCAATGTCACTGCCCAAACACTGTAAAACTCCTCTTTGCAGGAGTAATCCAGTCATATGTGAATAAGAATAATGATAAAGAAAGCCCAACCCTGTCAGCTGACAGGACAGGAAATCCTGGTTGTCTGAATCCCTATTTCTGAGACTGTCATTGTTGCTCAGTCGTGACGCCGGCTGCTTATTTCTCTCTCGTCTTCCAAAAAATAAATACAATATGAACATGTTAACAAGGTAAAAAAAAAAAAAGAACTTGATTTTCACTTGAGGGTCTTTAATTATTTCATCTGTGTTTGTAACCCAGTGGCAGACGGCACTAAACAGCACCCTGTCCATGAGCCTCAGCCATGACTGCCATAAAGAAAAGGCAGTCAGAGGCACACTGTAATTCAAAAGGCTTCATAGTTATAGTCGTTAACAAAACGCAGTGCCCTAGTTGCTAAATCCATCCACAATTGGCACAGAAAGTGAGAAGAATTGAGCTTCAGATTTTTCAGTTTCCACACGTTAAGTGGACCAGATTTTTAAGCTGCATGTTTCTCGCTGAAATGCACCTTGGGAGTTAACATAAAGTTTTTATATACAGGAGCTCGCTCAGCTCAACTTTTTAATTAAAGGGCCAGATTAAAGCGCAGAGATTGGAATCTTTTGCACTGGTGATTTAACCAGGAGAGTTTCGTTTCGATCCAAACCGCAATGCACCGACCGTGAGTCATGCAGCTTTGTCTATGGCGAAAATGAATGGGGTTTTATTTCCAGACCCACAGGTACCCAAAACAGCTCCTCCCACGTCATAACTCCACCGACTACAGTTTTTGTGCTTTATTTTGTCACAAGCAAAAACACTTACAATGACACTGCAAAATGCATACTGTCACAGGAGAGGTGGCGAATTGTTTAAATTAATTTATTTTCAATTATTACAGGTTAAAATGCAAATGAAAGGGGATGTAATTAGATGCTTTCACTCTTTTTAGAAAGGAATTTCGTAATGGGTTGCACACACAGCGAGTCTTAATGTTGATGACATTTTGGCTTACTGTGCAAAGGTCCCCATGATGCATTTCACACATTTACACTCAGATTATTGTAGTAGTTGCACTCTATCATGTACATGCATCTGATCTCTTTGCTTACATGTGCTGAAGCAACACACAGATAAACACACATAAGCAGGTGTAGGCAGGTAGACACAGATAGACAGGAAAGCTGATAGACAAGCAAGCAGACAAACACATAAGCATGTATTCAGACTCAACACAGACACTTGTGTGCCCACACAGACACTGAAAGACTACAAGACACACACACAGACACACACACACACACACACACACACAGTGAGACAGGACAAGCAACAAACAAATACACACAAACATGGACACACACGCACGCATGCACGCAGAGTCAAATCTATATAATCATCGGTCTAGATCCCTGATTCCACACTGGGAACCAAGTTTAAACTGCAGGGTGTTACAATAAAAAGAGCTCCCTAACTGCTGTGTGCCACAGCCAAAAAACCCCCATAACTGTTATGTGTCGCAGCCAAAACACTCCCACCGCGCTTCCTCTGGGCTGCGAGGGAACAGGCTGGGGATGATACACAAACATCATCATCATCCCTCATCTATCAAAAGCACACAGTGTGAAAATGTATCTGCAACAACAGGATTAGACCCAGGTCAATTAACTGTGATGTTTTTAATTATGCTGATTGCTTCCTTTTGCGTGCGCGGAGCTCGGGCGGGGTGTTGCACTTTGAAGGTGATCCAGCGCACTCGGCAGCATCTGATAAGATCAGTCAGTCGCAGAGAAGCAGCTGACTCCTTTTTTTCGGAGCGTTTCAAAGCGAAAGTCTGGGATTCATCAATGAAGCGAGGGCAGCCAGTTATGTGAAGGTTTAAAAAAGAAAAATGCACTGACTGATGCATGTGAGTGTACCTGTATGTGTTCATTCCTGTTCCTGGCAAACGCTTTACTGTAACAGCTTCTCATTACCTGTGGGCGAAAAACCCACGAGGCATGTGATGAAATGACAACAAAGAGAGGTGTCTGCGGGTCTGATTGATGTGTATTCTTGCATGCATCTGGATAACGTGCGACACAGGAATGTTGAAAGAAGACGGTGGATGCAAGTTCATTCTGCGGGTGAACAACTGAATGCTAATGTGTGTGTGTGTGTGTGTGTGTGTGTGTGTGTGTGTGTTTACCTGCTGCGCTGCGTCACCGTTAACCATGTGAGGCATGAGAGGGACCTCCCCGTTCAGGAGGGGGGGCGGAGCCAAGTCCAGTGGAATCTGGTCTGTCATCATCATTGTGACGTACATTCATGGAGAAATTGACTGAACTGCCCTACCTGGGAAAGTACAGAGAGAGGAGGGAGGGAGGCGGGGGGGGGTAAGAGAAAAGGGGATGTCATTATTATTCAGTCATGTACAAACAAGCAATGACAAAGACAGACGCATGTTCACGTTGCGGTTGCAAGTTTCACATTAAAAGTTTGGGAAGTTTGTTCATCTATTTCCCGGTATTGGTTTAAAAAGAATCAAAGAGAATTCCAGTGCATCAAAAAACAGAACTTTAATGCGTGAAAAGCAAAAACAAACTTGCTGTGTTGAACCAAATTTGAGCAGATTTTCTCATTTCCAAACTTGAAAACCAAATTTGTGGATCTAATAGTTTGATATTTTGGGGGGAAAGCTTATTCCCTTTCTTGCCAAGTTGTCTGTACTGCACATATCGAAAGAGCTAGAAAGGTGCTGACAGAACACAATTAAATCCACCTACTGACATCTATAAAGCTCACCAAGGTACACCTTCAATCTTGTTTGTAATATAAAAAAGTCCACACCTTTTCCATTAAACTAAGCTCTCCATCCACGGCCACATCTTTACACCGAACGCACAGATACAAAATTAGCAAACAAGCCCTCAGCAACAAAGCAAGTTTCTCCATTTCCCCCCCAATTTTTTTTTGCAATTAAATTCAAATCCAGATTATGCCACGTCTGCATTATGCCAGCCTGCCAATGCGTTTCCATCAGTGTTTATCGTCCAATTTCCTCATTGACAAAGCAATTTTCCACTTCACATGAGCGTGAAAACCTTTTTGCATTGTTGAGGAGCTTTTATTAAATTTGTCTGCTTCTGTTGGGTTGCAATTTCCATCCCAGCTCGGATAAGAACTTGGATCAAAACCCCTAATATATTTCTAATAACCGAGGTGTTTGTGATACATAGCCGAACGTACGCCGGAATAACAGGAGAATGAGATTCTGAGAGGAGTCCGAAGGGTGTATTTCAAGAAAGCAGAACAATGAAGAGGGATGCCGGAGATACAAAGAGATAAATGGTGGAGTTAACAAAAGGTAAAGTTATTCACGAGAGGAAACAAAATAGACACACAGAAAGGACAATATTCCAGTGTTTCCTACCATGTTTTTTTCCCTCTTACGCTGGCTTTGCACAGACGTATTAGCTTTGATAAAAATCCAACAAGTCATTTCATGCCAATATATAAAAGGAAAAAAAGATTAAAGAGGCAGAGGAAAACAGAGATGAGAGTGAGAGACTAATTCAAAGCTCTTCACCGTCAACAATAGTCCCGTAAAATACAGGAGGGATTATGGTGAATATCCTGTTTGGAGGATGAATGAGGAAAAAAAAAAAAAAAGAAACATAGGATGAATAAGGTCTTAGTGATATAGGTGAATAGGGATAACTGCACCTGCAATAGGCTTTGTAAACACAACACAGAACATGAGCGGTCCATGTCAATTTGCAAACACCGCAGCGAGAGCGGGAAGCCTTTTCAGGTCTTCTGGGGTCAATTGTTTTGGCGCTCTTAGCCGAGTGAGCTAAATCTGGAGACGGTTTCTCTGCTTGCATAATAATAGCAGTAAAACCAAAAAGCACAACTATGAAAAAAATAAAAACAACAACCCAGGCCATTCATCTAAAGTGGAAAATAACACGGCATCACCTACTTGGCCACGAATCTAAAGAAACCGACGGCCGTGCACGAGCTCCTCATGGAGGGTTTTTTTTTTTTTTTTAACCAAACTCCAGTCAAAATGTATGTGCGCACAGCAAAAACCGCCCAAGCTCCCGTGCACTTACGTCAGCGGCGATGCACATGAAACGCACACACATGCATATAAACAGCAGATAAAAAACCAACAGAAATGTTCCATATGAGCAAATCGAGCTCACACATAAACATACGCACACATGTCCAAACGCACACACATTCACTGCCAGGGCTGCATTACTGGATGACGTAGGTGTCTGAATTCAACGCCGCCGAGTGAAATCACCACTAAAGAGCTCCTGACTCACGGCCATAAGCTGCTATTAGCACACACATGAACATACAGAATGGATTATGGATTTCCTTTTCACTTCAGTGCAAGGAATCCATTTGATATCCAGCTGACATACATACATACACAGATCATATGCATGCACACACACACACATGCAGCATTCCTCGGAAACCAGCTGCGTGTCATTGTGTGTCTTTTCTTTCAGCTGGTCGTCTTCTCGCACTGACAAGGTCGTTGGAAGGGTTAGTGGATCACACAGCTGTGGCTCATACTGTTGCAAACACAAACACACTCCCGCCGCCCCTTTCAACGTCTTTTCCAATCAATCCCTTCCTTTAATTCTGGAGTTCTGCACTTCCTCTGCCTTTAACTCCCCCTTTTTTTTTTTTCTCCGCCATCTGAGCCCCGTTCCCAGCTCAGCCCGGCCATCCTGCATCGAACTCACTCACACACACACACACATATACAGAGTTGCGTCCAGGACACATCACAGACAGATGGTAACACCACTCTCTGCTCTGCCAGGAAAAAGAGAAGAGCGAGACAGAGAAGAAAGCAGAAAAGGAAGAGAGCGGGAATAAGTAAGTGAAGGATCGGCTTAGATGATAAATAGAGTGAAGAGGGAGGAGGACAGTCCAAAACATCTCTTCCAATAAGCTTGTGTTCTTAAAATAACCTCTCATTTCCAGGAGAAATTCATTATATTTCTATCTTTTTTTTTTCTTCTTTTCTCATGAATATGCATCGAAATCTCAAGCAGAAATTAGATTCCAATAATGTGAGCAGTTTGTGTGATGTTAATGGAAGTCTAGGAAGTTTTTGGGGGATTTTTTGTATGTAGAATGAGGAGAAATTTAAAACCCACACTCTAAAAGCACCCAGAAAATAAACGCAATATAATAAAAGGTATCGTCTTACCTCAAAGACAAACTGCCTGCTCTTGTCAAGAGACTGAAGTACTGCGTCACTTATTCCTTTTCTAAGAAGTCAGTTCAAGGCAAATTACAAATTGCCATCTATCTCTAGTGGTTTCTAACCATGCTTTTCTTTTTTTTTTGCTCCCACAGCTGAAATATGTGATTAAAATTTTCAACACAAACAACTGTGCTGAATCTGTGTTTCTTCATTGTCAGCAGTTTCGCTGGAACTGAAGAAACTGTTCCTCTCCCCAAAGTTCAGCAGATGAAACTATCTGCTCAGCCAGACGCCACGAAAGGAGAAATCTGTCCGTCATAGAGACCTTGTTAACGTGTCCAGATGCTGTTTCTGACCTGCTGGTGGACATACCAGGAGCAATATTTGCATTCAACACCATTGCTGAGCATTTCCGCTTTAAAACTGGAGTGTTCCCCTAAAAACGTGGATTTAGATATAAAACCTAAGAAAACAAAACCATCAACCTGCAGGGTTTCTGTATCATCATTCCTCTTTAGAATCAGTTTCTGGTTTAAACATAAATGGGTGAAATATTCCAATATCACAAATTGCAATTGTGCGGCACTTTTCAATTTGTATTTATACTTGGTTGTCGGAAGTCTTTATTTACTTTCTTGTAGTGAAAGCTGAGACTTCCGACTGAAATTTTGTTGTGTGTATGGAAACGACAATAAAAAGGATTCTGATTCAGAGTCATTTTATAGTTTTGGAGCGGAGTCATAGGTGAGCTGGTGTTCTCAAGCTGCACTGGAAGAGAGCTGGAGGCTTCATGACAACTTCTGAATATGTAACTCCGATATACAGACATGAGTTTTCAGGGGATAAACCCATTAAACCCCAACATCTGCCAGTGGTTTGGAAAGGCATATTTACATTTTTAAAAACTGCCCAAACTACACCATTTATATTACTCTAATATACTGTACTGCAATACTAAGATGAGAAGAATCACCTGATATTTTACTTTCCGACAGTCCTTGAACTAATCACAGCTGGTTTTGATGGAAACTAAAAACCAAATCTTTGCTAAAAATTGGGATATTTTATGTAAATCACTTTTTTCTACATGTCTCGTTTAAAAACAATGGCAAAGATAAACCATGTACAGTCACTACATTCTGTAAAAAACAAAAAACTAATTCTGCGATTCTCTGCACAACCAAAAAGCTATAACTTACTCAGCTTTGATCAACAACCAAGTGACAATATACGTGGGACTTTTCAGCTGGACCAAACTGCAGGCTGTGTTTACACAGAGCAGAGAGTACACAAGGATGGGAAAAAATGTAAGTACCAAATTATTTATAGTATGTAGAGGCATCATTTTTTTCAGTACTGGCTACACCTGTGGGCACTTGAGAAAATGTTGTACATGTTGATTCCAGGTTTGTCAATCTGATTATTTATGGCATCAAAATGTTGTTATACAGCATATTTTTGAGTTCCTACTTGTAGCTGTGATTGGATAGCAGTGCAGGATATTGTATTATGGTGAGTAAAAATTAGACAGGAACAAAAAAAACCCAGAACAGTCACCTAGAAACTGCTGGTGTTCAGAGGATTAATCAAAAGACTGGAGGGGAACTTTAAAAACAAAGCTGGAGACAGTTTAGCTCAGCAAAAACTGAAAGCAGGTGGAAAGAATCTGCCAAAGCTCACCATTTAACATCTAATACGTTATAAGATAATAAAAGTGTAAAATTAACAAGATGCCTGTTTGAGACGAGCCGTTTCCTCTGCTCTCTGTCTTCATCTTAAGCTCTCCTGGCTGTGCTTTCATATTTAACAGATATGAAAAGGCATCAATTTTCTCAAACCTCTAGTTGAAAAAGACACAAAAAGCACAAGTTCCAAAAAGTCAAACTACCCCTTTGGGGTAACCAAAGACCATCTTGTAGATGAATACAATAGTGCTGCGTTGAGCTCACTGATGTCTTGTTATATAATTTCTTGGCATTGACATCCTCTGAATTTAAACACAGCCTTTTGCTGCAATTTGGAGGAACTGATGTGTGAAATTGCATAGTCTAGAAGCAACGGTAAGAAAAAAAAAAAAAAGATTATCTATTGGTCTAGTGTCATTCGGTGTACTTTG